TTAACCTACACCTCCCAAGAAAGTTAACTGAAACCTTTAAATATATATATATATATATATATATATATATATATATATATATTTAAAGGTTTCAGTTAACTTTCTTGGGAGGTGTAGGTTAAAGTCTATTTTGTGCTTGTTTAAGCCATTCCTTTGTGATCTGTAAAAATAGATCCTTACAGGGCTGTTTTAAGGATTAAATGAGATAATATATATATTTGTAAATTACAAATTGCTACAATTCTGATTATTTTTATTGTAAATTATACACACTAATATATTTAGGAGTGACACTGGTTGTCCTTACCTATGGTTTTACATAAAAATATTCAGTATTTGTTTATTTCCTTCTGGTTGGTACTCTCTTTTAGCATAAAATTTTATTCACTTAAATTTATTTTTTATGGAAATAATATAGTTGATGTAAAGTATTATATTTGTTTTAGGTGTACTATATAGTGATTTGATATTTACATACATTATGATATGATTGCCATAATAAGTCTAGTAACTATCTGTCCCTGTACAAATTTCTTAACAATGTTATTGACCATATTCTTTATGGTGTGTATTATAGCCCCTTTGCTCACTTATTTTATAGCTGGAAGTTTTCTCTCCTACCCCGCTCAGTTTGTTCTTTGCATCTGAGTCTGTTTTCGTTTGGTTTGTTTGTTTTGTTTTTTAGATTCCACATAAAAGTAAGGTCATATGGTACTTGTCTTTCTTAGTCTGACTTATTTAACTTAGTGTAATACTGTCTAAATCCATTCATGTAAAATGGCAAAATTTTATTTTTTTAATGGCTGAGTAATATGACACACACACACTGTCTTCTTTATCCATTTATCTACTGATGGCCACTTAGATTGCTTCCATATCTTGGCTATTGCAAATAATGCTGCAGTGAACATTGTGCATATGTCTTTTTGAATTAGTGTTTTTGTTTTCTTTGGGTAAATACCCAGAAATGAAATTGCTGGATCATATGGCAGTTCTATTTTTAATTTTTTGAGGAATCTTCACATTGTTTTCCATAGTGACTGCACTAATTTCCAATCCCACTGACAGTTCACAAGGGTTCTCTTTTCTCTGCATCCTTGCCAACACTTATTATTTGTTGTCTTTTTGATGATAGCCATTGTGACAGGTGTGAGGTGGTATCTCATCGTGGTTCTGATTTGCATTTCCCTGATGATTAGTGATGTTGAGCATCTTCTCATGTGTCTGTTGGCCATCTGTATGTCTTTTTTGGGAAAATGTCTATTCAGGTCCTCTGCTTATTTATTTTTTTTAATTTTGCGGTACGCGGGCCTCTCACTGTTGTGGCCTCTCCCATTGTGGAGCACAGGCTCCGGACTCGCAGGCTCAGCGGCCATGGCTCACGGGTCCAGCCGCTCTGCAGCATGTGGGATCTTCCTGGACTGGGGCACGAACCCGTGTCCCCTGCATCGGCAGGCGAACTCTCAACCACTGCACCACCAGGGAAGCCCCCCTCTGCTTATTTTTTAATTGGGTTGTTGGTTTTTGGATGTTGATTTGTATGAGTTCTTTGTGTATTTTGGATATTAATCCCTTATCAGATATGTTGTTTGCAAGTATCTTGTCCCATTCAGTAGGTGGCCTTTTCATTTTGTTGCTGGCTTCCTTCGCTGTGCAAAAACTTTTCATTCTCAATTTGATGTCCCTTTTGTTTATTTTTGCTTTTGCTTCCCTTGCCTCAGGAGACATATCTGGAAAGATTCTGCTAAGACCAGTTTCAAAAAGCATGCTGCCCATGTTTTCTTCTGGTTTTATGGTTTCAGGGCTTCTATTTAAGTCATTTTGAGTTTTTGTATATGGTGTAAGAAAGTAGTCCAGTTTGACTCTTTTGTATGTAGCTGTCCAGTTTTCACAGCATCATTTACTGAAGAGGCTGTCTTTTCCTCACTGCATATTCTGGCCTCCTTTGTTATAGATTAACTGACCATGTAAGCATGGGTGTATTTCTGGACTCTCTGTTCTGTCCCATTGATCTGTGTGTCTCTTTTTGTGCTAGTACCATAGTATTTGGATTACCATAGTTTTGCAGTATAGTTTGAAATCAGGGCCTGTGATGCCTCCAGCTTTGTTCTTCTTTCTCAGATTTCTTTGGCTTCTTGCATAAAATTTTAAAGCAGAATTCATATCATATTAACCATTTTCCCAAATCTTTAAATATTCCTTCAGAACATGCTGTTGAAGTGGCCATTACATGGTTATATAATAATTTTTTTAACCACATCTGTGTCGCTGGACATTCAGATTGTTTTCAGGTTTTTTTATCATTGCAAATAGTAGCATAATAAACTGTATTTAAACCTTTGTTCACTTCCTAGAGGTGAAATTACTAGATCAGATAATGTATTCATGGTTTCTAACTCTTACCTTTAAAATGGTCCTTTGCATTTTTACATTCTCGCAAGTAATGTATGCAAGTACTCATTTCACTGTAACTTGAGCGACACTGGGTCTTATTATAAACAAAAACCCAACAATTTTGTTCACTAGGTAATAGAAAAATATTACCATTAAGTTCTCTAGTAGTTGGGTTGCACATTCTTTGTTATTGTTGTTTAATGACTCTGTTTCTTTTATAAATTGCCCTTTGTACCTTGTTTTATGGCACATATATTTTCTCTTACTGATTTATAAAAAATTTAAACAGCACTGACATACGGAACATATTAACTCACTTCTCAGTTTGTTTTTAGCTTTTTAATGGTTTTTAAATTGATGTAGAAGTATTTTAAATTTGAATAGCTAAAACTGCCTTTTCCATTTCTGATTTTCTTTTTAATCTTATTGGAGTATAGTTGCTTTACAATGTTGTGTTAGTTTCTGCTGTACAACAAAGTGAATCAGCTGTATGTATGCATATATCCCCATATCCCCTCCCTCTTGAGACTCCCTCCCACCCTCTCTATCCCACCCCTCTAGGTGGTCACAAAGTGCTGAGCTGATCTCCCTGTACTATGCAGCAGCTTCCCACTAGCTAGCTATTTTACATTTGGTAGTGTATATATGTCAATGCTACTCTCGCACTTCGTCTTAGCTTCCCCTTCCCCCACTGTGTCCTCAAGTCCGTTCTCTATGTTTGTGTCTTTATTTCTGCCCCACCACTAGGTTCATCAGTACCATTTTTTTAGATTCCATTTATGTGAGTTAGCATACGGTATCCATTTCTGATTTTTTAGTGAGTTTTTTACTCTTAGAAAAAGTCTTTTCTTTAAAGTTTAAAAAAATATTTTCTTAAACCTCTTAGATTATTTTAATTTTTATTTAACTATTTAAAGTAATCCATTTGGATTTTGTCTTACTTTGTATAAGATACTTTCCCCTAAATTATTAACCAGTTATTGTAGTACTATTATTAAATAATTTCAGTCTTTCCTTGCTGATTTGGAATCCTGTCTTTGTCATATGCTAAATATTTATATTAATTGAATATTTTCCTGGAATTTCCTTTTGTTCTATTGTTCTGTTAAAACCAGCCTATCTTTTTAGTGTGAAAGTCATTAGACTGTGTTGATTCATATTTTACCGGCCAATATTATGAATATAATCTATTGATAGTCTCTCCCACTGAGCATTTGCAATCCTCATCTCAGGATGTATTTCTTGGCGTATTACAAAGGACCAAAGTTCTGTGTTATTTCATGATGACTTCCATACATTCACATTTTCATAGATTTACACATGCATACTTTACTATTTACTCTCGTGTGCTTTCCAGGATTGTAGAGATTGTTTATCTTGTTCTTATTCAGACTCTTTACATGATAACTGGGATCTAAGGGGGCAAAGGTGAAAGACGTAGAAGACTTCTCAAGGCTCTTCTTGGCTCCAGAATTTGTATATGACATCCTATTACGAAGAATTGGAGGCATGAGTCCTTATGATCTTATGATCTGTCACAGTTAAAATATCTTCATAGTAAGAAAGTTTCCTAAAAAAATCTGAATAAAAACTATTATTGTGTTATTTTACATTTTCTTTTACTAAAGTATTAACATTGCAGTCAAGAGGTATCTAATGTACTTATTAAATCAGCAGTTAAAAGCCAAGAGTGGCAGTACTCTTGGGTATTACAGTAAAACATCTTTCCTTAATTTTTATGCTTTTTGTTCTGCTGGTATGTAATCTCTTTTAGGGCAGGGCCAGTGATATTATTCTTTCATGCCTTGAATAGATTAAGTTCTCCGAATGTTTAAATTTATGAACTATTGCAAATAAGTTGAATTAACTAAATAGTAGTAAACTTCACACCCAATACTGACTCTTACCTACTGATTCAAACATCTGAGAATGATTTCGTTAAAAGTTTTTGGCGTTAAATAAGGTTGGGCTCCTAATATGTAATTAATTTCTTATTAATTGAATTTCTTTGTTATATTTCAATTCATCAGTTTTAGCAGAGATAACTAATTCATCTATTTTCGGAGTAGACCTCAGAAAGAATTTTTTGCCTGAGTTTCTGTGCTCTGTTTTGTAGTTTGTGGGCCATAGAATTTAATGCATGGTGATGGAGAATCCGACATCATTATGATGTGATAGTGCATGTCAAAGTGCTATGTAAATTTTAAAGTGCTATTTATGAAATGTACGCAACAGTATTTGGTGTTTTTAACAGAAGAAAAAGTTTGTCAGATATAAAAGTAGCAAATAATTGTAGACTTTAGTTGTTTATATATTGTTCTATGTTGGTCAAGGATAAGGGAACTGAAGTCACCTTAAAATAAGTTATACTAGTATTATTATATATTTTAATATATAGTAATATATATAGTAATGCCATAAGTATATTACTAGTATTGTTTATATATAAAATAATATCATGGTTAGAAGTGATTTTGTTATTTTTGACAAATATTTGTTAACACTGTAAATTACTTAAACACAATTATATAGAAATCTCATCTTTATTATGTATATGTGGGTTATGATTTAAATTTAAATTGGATTTTACTTCTATTCACTTTTAGAAATATAAAGAAAAGGACAAACACAAACAAAAACACAAGAAGCAACCAGAACCATCACCTGCATTGGTTCCTTCCTTGACTGTTACTACAGAAAAAGTAAGTTTTAAGCGTCAGATTTTGTTCTACATAATAACTAGTTATGTGCTGACTTTTACCGTTTAACTAGTTATGTGCTGAATTTTGAAAATACTTGAGGAAGTGTCCTGGTTCCTTCTAAGCATTTCCACCTCTCTAACCCTACATCAAGTTCTTTAGGTTTTCTATTCTTAGTCCTTTATTCTATCTTCTGTTTATTCTATGCTTATTTCTGAAGAATGTTAAGTGAGGATAACAAGTGGGGGGCATCATTGAGATGTAAACTTTGGGCTGTGCAGTGGGCTTTGCCCACCTGTGCTTTTGAATTTTGGCTTCACCACTTACAGACCAAGCTCTTAGGTTAATTAACCTCTTTGTAACTCAATTTCATCATTCGTTAAAGTGGGGGAGATAATTGTTGGAATTGAATGAGGTAATGCATATAAAGCAGTTAGAACAATGTCTGATTCATAGTAAGTATTACTTAGTAAATGTTAAATATTATTAAGATTATAATCATGTGGTTAACAAGAAAACAAGTGGGGATGGTGTTGGGCAGCTGGGACAGAGTAAGAAAGGGAGGTGGGAGGGGTGCAGTAGAAGAGGCCAGGATGAGAGGCCAATCACATAGGGCTGTATAAGCCAGTGGAAGGACGTAGTTTTTAGTCTGAGTGAAAAGATAGCCATTAGAGCAGCGGTCCCCAACCTTTTTGGCACCAGGGACTGTTTTTTTTTTTTTTTTTTAAATTATTTATTTATATTTTTATTTTTGGCTGTGTAGGGTCTTCATTTCTGTGGGAGGGCTTTCTCTAGTTGCGGCGAGCGGGGGCCACTCTTCATCATGGGGTGCGGGCCTCTCACTGTCGCAGCCTCTCTTGTTGTGGAGCACAGGCTCCAGATGCGCAGGCTCAGTAGTTGTGGCTCACGGGTCTAGTTGCTCCACGGCATGTGGGATCTTCCCAGACCAGGGCACGAACCCGTGTCCCCTGCATTGGCAGGCAGATTCTCAGCCACTGCGCCACCAGGGAAGCCCCAGGGACTGGTCTTGTGGAAGATAATTTTTCTACAGATGGGGGGTGGTGGGGTGATGGTTTCGGCATGATTGAAGCGCATTAAGTTTATTGTGCACTTTATTACTGTTATTATTACATTGTAATATATAGTGAAGTAATTATACAACTCACCATAATGCAGAATTAGTGCGAGCCCTGAGCTAGTTTTCACTTGCCAGTAACTGATAGGGTTTTGATAGGAGTCTGCAAGCGATTGATTTATTATGGTCTCTGCAGTCAAACCTCTCTGCTAATGATAATCTGTATTTGCAGCCGCTCCCCAGTGCTAGCATCACCGCCTCATCTCCCCCTCAGATCATCAGGCATTAGATTCTCATAAGGAGCACGCAAGCTAGATCCCTCGCGTGTGCAGTTCACAGTAGGGTTTGTGCTCCTGTGAGAATCTAATGCCGCTGCTGATCACAGGAGGCGGAGCTCAGGCAGTAATGTGAGCAGTGGGGAGCGGCTGTAAATACAGATAAAGCATTGCTTGCTCGCCTGCCACTCACCTCCTGTTGTGCAGCCCGGTTCCTAACAGGCCATGGACTGGTACCAGCCCGGGGATTGGGGACCCCTCCGTTAAAGAGTTCTGATCTGAGATGTAACATGGTGTTACTTAGGTTTTGTAAGAACCTGTGGCTACTTTGTTGTAAATGGACTATAGAGAGACAAGAATGAAAGGAGGGAGGCCATTAGGAGGTTATTGCAATAATCCAGAAAGGGATGGTGGTGACACTGGAGGGTGGTGAAAGGTGATCAGGTTATGAATACATTCAAAAGTAGAACCCACGTAACTTTCTTATAGATAAAAGGTGTAAGAGAAAGAGGATGCAAAGATGATTCCAAAGATTTTAGCCCACATAACTAGAAGGAATGGAACTGCTGTTGACAAAGATATGAGAGACTGTGGGTGTGGTAGGTTTAGGGGAAGAAGAGGAATTCAGTTTTGGGTATGGTATTTGTTCTTTTAAAAATATTTTACAACTGAAGTATAGTTGATTTACAGTGTTGTGTTAATTTTTTCTGTGTAGCAGAGTGACACAGCCATACATATATACATATTCTTTTTCATATTCTTTTCCATTATGGCTTATCATAGGATACTGAATATAGTTCCTTGTGCTGTACAGTAGGACCTTGTTATTTATCCATCCTATATATAATGGGTTGCATCTACTAATCTCCAAACTCCCAATTGTTTCCTCCTCCACATCCCTCCCCCATGGCAACCACAAGTCTGTTCTCTATGTCTGTGAGTCTGTTTTTGTTTCATAGCTATGTTCATTTGTGTTGTATTTTAGATTCCACATATAAGTGATATCATCTGATATTTGTCCTTCTCTTTCTGACTTATTTCACTTAGTATGATAATCTCTAGGTCCATCCCCAGTGTGTGTGTGTGTGTGTGTGTGTGTTTAGGGTTGTGAAATCTTACGGAACAAACTTTTTGGCCAACCCAGTATATACCACGTTTTTTAATCCATTTGTCTGTTGATGGACATTTAGGTTGCTTCCACGTCTTGGCTATTGTAAATAGTGCTGCTATGAACATAAGGGTGCATGTAGCTTTTCGAATTATAGTTTTGTCTGGGTATATGCCCAGGAGTGGGATTGCTGGATCATATGGCAACTCTAGTTTTTGAGGAACCTCCATACTGTTTTCCATAGTGGCCATACCAATTTACATTCCCACCAACAGTATAAGAGTGTTCCCTTTTCTCCACACCCTCTCCAGCATTTGTTGTTTGTAGACTTTTTAATGGTGGCCCCTCTGACTGGTGTGAAGTGGTACCTCATTGTGGTTTTGATTTGCATTTCTCTAATAATTAGCGATGATGAGTATCTTGCAAAAGTGGTTCTAGAGGGAACATATCTCAACATAATAAAAGCTATTTACAACAGACCCACAGCGAATGTAATACTCAGCGTTGAAAAGCTGAAAACATTCCTGCCCAAAACAAGACAAGGATGCCCACTCTTACCACTTCTCTTCAGCATAGTATTGGAAGTTTCAGCCACAACAATCAGACAAGAAAAAGAAATAAAGGTATTCAAACTGGTAGGGAAGAGGTAAAGTTGTCATATACACAAATGATATGATGCTATATGTAGAAAACCCTGAAGACTCCACACAAAAGCTGATAAAACAAATTTAGCAAGGTAACAGTATACAAGATTAACATACAGGAATCAGTTGCATTCCTTTACAGTAACAGTGAAAGAACAGAACGGGAATGCAAACAAACAATCCCTTTTAAAATTGCTTCAAAAAAAAAGAAAGAAACTTAGGAGTGAACCTCACCAAGGAGCTAAAAGACTTATATGCTGAGAACTACAAAACCTTAATAAAGGAAACTGAAGATGATTCAAAGTAATGGAAAGATATCCCCTGCTCTTGGATTGGAAGAATTAATATTGTTAAAATGGCCATACTACCCAAAGCAATCTATAGATTTTATGTGATCCCTATCAAATTACCCATGACATTTTTCACAGAAGTAGAACAAATAATCAGAAACTTTATAAAAGACCCAGAATTGCCAAAACAATCCTGAGGAAAAAGGACAAGGCAGGAGTTATGACTCTCCCAGGCTTCAGACAATACTACAAAGCTACAGTAATCAAAACAGTGTGGTATTGATACAAAAACAGACATACAGGTCAGTGGAACAGAATAAAGAGCCCAGAAATAAACCCACACACCTATGGGCAGGCTTTGACAAAGGATGCAAGAATATACAATGGTAAAAGTCCCTTCAGCAAGTGTGTTGGGAAAGTTGGACAGCTGCATGTCAGTCAGTGAAGTTAGAACACACCCTCACACCATACACAGAAGTAAACTCAAAATGCTTAAAGACTTAAATATAAGACAGGACACCATAAAACTCCTAGAAGAGGACACAGGAAAACATTCTCTGAAATAAATCATAGCAGTGTTTTTTTAGGTCAGTCTCCCAAGGCGATAGAAATAAAAGCAAAAATAAACAAATGGGACCTAATCAAACTTATAAGCTTGCACAGCATAGGTCAGTCTCCCAAGGCGATAGAAATAAAAGCAAAAATAAACAAATGGGACCTAATCAAACTTATAAGCTTTTGCACAGCAAAGGAGACCATAAACAAAACAAAAAGACAACCTACGGACTTGGGGAAAATATTTGCAAATGATGCGACCAACAAGGGCTTAATTTCCAAAATATACGAACAGCTCATACAATTCAACAGCAATAAAAAAAGCCTGGGATTTCCCTGGTGGTCCAGTGGTTAAGACTCCATGCTGCCAATGCAGGGGCCCTGGCTTTGATCCCTGGTCAGGGAACTGTATCCCACATGCTGCAACTAAAGATCCCACACACTGCAATGAAGATTCTGCACTCGGCAACAAAGATCCTGTGTGCCTCAAATAAGACCCAAGATACAGCTAAGCTTGTACTTTTCCAAATTGTGCTCTAAGGGATTGATAATAACTGTAACAGTGAGACCTCGTGAGTGATAAGGTCTGATGTTTTGAGGTTTTATACCTGGAGGGCTTTAGAGAGAGAGAGAGGGGTTTAGAATCAGCATTGAAGAGCAAGAGAACCCAGCCCACCTGCATAGCCAGTGAAACCAGAGTAGAGTAGCTGGAGTAGAGTATCCATTACTTGAAGTAGCTGTGAGGTAAACAGGGTGTTCAGGGTGACCCCTGATTTTGTTAGAGCAAGAATCTGCAGGGAATATTCTGAGAAAAGGTTGAGCTTATTTATTTTTTAATATTTATTTATTTATTTGGCTGTGCCATGTCTTCGTTGCGGCATGTGGGAATCTAGTTCTTTGACCAGGGATTGAACCTGGGCCCCCAGCATTGGGGGTGTGGAGTCTTAACCACTGGACCACCATGGCAGTCCCAAGGTTGAGTTAAATATAGCAGCTTTTCCTGGTAATTCTGAGTTCCAGAGAGAACAGTGGAAGGGTTTCAGCTGTTGAAGAGGG